TACTCTTGGCTTTGGTTATACTAGTAGATACTATTCCTTTGTATCATTGGTATTCTCTTGGTATTCTGTTATGAATATAAATAATATGTGCTTATAAAAAGTAAACAGAATGAGAACATTATGATTCTTTTCTCATTAATTTTTTAAAAATCTATGCTGATTTAAATTAAGACACATATGACAAATGTTAACAGGAAAAATTTGGCAACAGTTTACTTTACCATTCTTTATAGCTTTTACTAATGATATCAGTATTTTGTGGTGTTCTATAAAGAATGTATTGGATTTTGACACTTGTATAAGTTTGAGAACCAGCGTTAGGAATGCAAATTGATTCTTTGAATTAGAAAATGGAGTTTTTATGTTAAAAATTAATCAGAGTGTTACAAAGATCAGTTTAACATTTATTCCTTACACTTACACATAGATAAAAGTTTTCTACACCTCTCATAGGATTGTTTCATTATTATAAATAACCATTTTTTTTGTGATCTTACAGGAGCCCAGGCTTGTGTGCTTGTATTTTCTACCACAGACAGGGAATCTTTTGAAGCAATTCCCAGCTGGAGAGAGAAAGTAGTAGCTGAAGTAGGAGATATACCAACTGTACTTGTACAAAACAAGATTGATCTCTTGGATGATTCTTGTATAAAGAAGTAAGATGACTATGCTTTTGGAAGCACTTCTACAAAAGTATTTTTTGGACAGTATTTCTACAAAAGTTAAAACATTTTTTATTGTTGCGTAGACCTAAGACTTAACAAAAGCATTTATAAAGACTGCTTTACAGTTAAAATTTCTGCAGTCTGGTTTATGTGATTTGGGGTTAAAAAATAATACTGAGTTATAAGTTATTGTTGTTGTTGTTACGTGCCATCGAGTTGGCGCCGACTCACAGCGACCCCTCCTTGGGTTTCTGAGGCAGTATCACTACGGAAGTAGATTGCCCAACCTTCCTTCCAAGGAGTGGATGGTGGGTTTGAATTGCCAGCCTTCTGGTTAGCAGGCAAGTGCCTTAGGCACTATGCTACCAGAGCTTGTAAGTAGAGAAAATTAAAGTAAGAAAGTTTACAAGTCCTTTTAGGATTCTAGACTTTGGTCTTTGAACCATAAAACCAGTTTTTCATGTTAATTTAAACTTAGGTATAGTAAGAACATTAAGAAAAACATTCCTAGATGTTTTCAAATCTAGAGTAAGTTGCTATCCTACACTGATGAATTTAAATAGATAAAAAGTATAGATTCATTATTCTGTATATTCAGAATTCCTATGCTCAGATGTGTGAATAGAGTTTAACCATTGCCATTGAGTTGATTCTGATTATGCCAATCCCATCTGTGTTAGTAGGATTGTCCTCCAGGGGGTTTTCAGTGACTGGGTTTTTTTTTGGGAAGTGGATTGCCAAGAATTTCTTCCTAGGCGCCTCTAGGTGGACTCAAACCTCCCACCTTTCAGTTAACCATTTGTACCAGCAGGGGCTCTGAACAGAGTTTAGCATCTAGATAATTTTTGTTCATATATGTTTACTCATTGCATCATTAACATTTTTGCTAGCTTTGCAAATCTGTGCTTGGCTTTTTCCTTATTATTATGAATTTCTATCTGTCTATTTATTAGTTATCTATTGCTGTATAACAAACTCCCCCCGAGATTTTGTGGTTTAAATGACAAACCTTTATTACTTCACAGTTTCTGGGGGTCAGGAATTCATAAGTAGCTTAAGCTGGGTGATTTTTGCTCAGAGTTTTTCGTGAAATTGCAGTCAAGATGTTGGCTGGGGCTGTAGTCATATAAAGGCTTGACTAGGGCTGGAAGATCCACTTCTAAAATGGTTTACTCACTTGGCTGTTAGCAAGAGGCCTTAGTTCCTTGCTACTAGTGCTTGTTATTAGGACTGCTTAAGTGTTCTCACAGCATGGCAGCTGGCTTCCTACTTAGCAGTTGATCCAAAGAGAAAGCAAGGTGAAAGTCCTGGTATCTTTTGTGAGCTAGCCTAAAAGTCGAATACTATCACTTCTGCTGTTATGTTCACACAGGCCAACTTTGATACAATGTGGGAGGGGACTATGGTCCTGAAGACCAGGACCCACTTTGGAACATGGCTACTATAGTCCTCATAAAACTAAAATTAAGGATGCATTTTTATAGACACAATCACTAATATACTGACTTTGGCTTTTGGCAACAAAATATTTTCATAGCAGATAAGAGTAAAATAAATATTTCAATATAAGATTTTCAGAGTGTAATTAAATCCAAATATATTAAAAACAGAAGAGAAAGAATTGATTAAAGTATTATATATAGAAAAGTAATATTTAATCATGGAAATTAGTGATACTATAGAAAAGTGTTCTGTTTACAAATAAAGTGTAATGATATTATCCTTTAAGAGGAGTGAATACTAAATCTTGTTCAGCGCTAAGTGAGACATAGCTTTCAACTGGTTTCATTTAACAGGGCATCAATATTTAAGGTTCTTTAAAAAGAAATAAGAGAAATATATGGAAGGTCTAATTTTCCCCCTCTTTCTTTCTTTCACACACACACTGAATTCAGTAAATGTAATAAAAGTGATTTTTTTAAAACAAGCTATCAAAGTTACCTCTATAAGCATTTTCTTTTCTGAATTGATGTGCAGTGAGGAAGCTGAGGCACTGGCTAAAAGGTTAAAGTTAAGATTCTACAGGACATCAGTGAAAGAGGATCTAAATGTAAATGAAGGTAAATGGCCTTTTTAAATAAGTTTTTGCAACAGGATGTTTATTTTAATCTGCTGCTTTTCTTATTGTGTTGTTCTGATATTTTATTTGTATGAGAATAAACTTTGCTCTGTCACCTGTCATTAAGTATGATTTGAAGGCATGGACACCTGTTACTCCCTACAGCAAAACTTCATCTGTAGCTTTTTGTTTGTTTTAATTTCTTTACAGATCTAAGCTATGTATGTATATGTAGTATGTGTTTTTAATGCTCACCTTTTTAAACCTACATTTCAAATTACTAAATCGTTTTAGAACACCAGCATAGTAGACATTCCTTTAGGTAGTGATGACCTTAGTTTAATAATAATTTCTAGTTTAAGAAAGTAAGATTAGAGAAAAGTAGTATTTATTTTTCTGATTTCAGCATTGCCATTTATTTTATGAGATTGAAACTCATTTGTTGCTCAAGTCTTTATGGTGGTTAGGTTTTTTTCACCTAAAGGAAGTCAACACAAGACTTGGTCTACCATCATTGAATATTAATCCCTATTCAAGTACTTAAACTAAAAACTCAGTGACAGAAAATCTTCTCCCATTTTTGTAGCGCAATGCCTAAGGCAGTTGACTGCTAACCAGAAGGCTGGTGGTTCAA